CAATGTAATAAAAATAATTATTAAAAAATTAAGATTTTTGAATTCGAGCCTTGGATCTCAATGTTGCTAGAGGGATTCGAGCCTTGGATCTCAATGACAAAACCAAGTTATTATCAAGTCTTTAACCATTGCACCACCCACCAACCTGCTCTTCTTTTGGTACATTAAATTTTATTTATCTGATTTTCCTGCGCCATGTGTATAAAAGGCTTTAAACATATAGCGCCCTTTAAAAGGGCGCTANGCCCTTTTATGAATTCTGGTCACTAAATCTTTTTTTCACGCATTTCGATCGTTTGAGTCAAAAAAGACCACAATTTGATTCCAGACTCTATAAGCCAGATCTCTGATACCTTGGTAAATTTACTAAATATGAGAGTTACTTCTTAAAGCGAATTCGATCCTATAACCATCTTTATTCGAAAAATGCACGAGGCTATGAACTCGAAAGCTCCTCTTTCTAAATAGAAAAAAAAATTATTTATAAGACAATATAGACTTTCTCAAAAAGCCTTCGCCCTCCTATTCAACGAGGCTGTTAGAGAACCATTTTCCTTCCTTAACTTCTTTTCAGTGAGTAACAACATGAGATATCAGGTTAAAATTTAACTATAATACTCTGTCTGAGTCCATTTGGCCGTTCAATAAATTAGTTAAAATGTATAGAGTCATGCCTCTTTATAACAACATGCCTATATAACAACAATTCACTATAAAAGTCAAGCTTTTTTCGGAACCAATTTTCATGTTATGTTATAATATATATTCTCTATAACAACACTTCACTATAACATACAAAAATAATTGGAACAAACGAAGTTGTTAATAGAGAAGTTTGACTGTATAAACTGATTTTGATATTATTGCATCTAACAAAAAGATGGTCATTCATTCACTGAAAAGAAGTCAAGGAAGATGTTATTGCATCTAAAAAAAGAGGGTCACTCACTCATTTGCATCTGCTGAATGTGTTATACTCTCACATAAATAAACTCGTATGTGAAATTACTACTAATGGTACTAAACAATATGTACTAGTCATTACAGTAACCAAGTAGAAATTGTGTCTAAAGAATAAGTTCCCTTAAACTAGAAATAAAAACAATATAACCAGTTTTGGAACATCCTGCAGCAGACAGTTTTAGCATATCTTGGCAAAAATTCAGTACATTGTTCAAGAGATCAAAGTAATGGAAGTTAATAAACTTACATAGTATAGTTAAGCACCAACAATAAGTATGATACTCATAAAACTTTCAACAGCTGCACTTCAAAAATTAGAGGCTCCTTCACATGAGACATAAGGCTACGCCTTGGTCCAAACTGCAACACGACAAATATGCGTTTGATGAACCAATAACATCAACTATAAAGCAGAAAAGGAACATATAATCATAGATTAAGATAGTTGGAGAGTGTAGGATAAGGGTACCAAAGGATGTTAAATGAATAAATTTCTGAGAACACATACGTCTTCAGGTACTGGTTTTAAGTTTTCATTGATGTATCCTAGCGAAGGCGGGATCAACGCTCTTCTTTTTCCTGCAGTACAGGCCTTACAGCTCAAACAAATAGAACTGTATATTCTGAAAAATGGCAAATAAGTTTTCCTGGAGATCCTGTCATTTACTAAAGTTTGAATATATTTTGCAAACAAAAAGTGAATACTTTTTTAAAGGAGCAGGCACAACCTCCAGGCTTCATTCCAATCAAGACTTCCTTCAGACCTTCAATTATCTGCAGATTCACAGAGACTTGTAAGAAAAACAAGAATGCAGTTAATTATCAACTACCCCCTGTCACACCTCCTTTTTCCCCAGGGATAGGGGAGTTTTTCCAATTAAATTGACATTATTTATTTAATCAGAGTCGCCACTTGGAATAATTATTATGGTGTCCCAAGTCACCGGTTTATTTTCAAATCCCAAATCGAGGAAAAATGACTCTATTTATGGTCCGCGAACACAGAAGACCGTGTAAGAAATTCTATTAACCCGGGAGAAGGTGTGAGGCACTCCCGAGTTCCGTGGTTTTAGCACAGTCGCTCAACAATTAATACCTGACTTAATTATTACATGTTTTAGAACCTTTTATGCATTGCCGCTTTTAATGATTTTTAAACAATTATGGAGTTGAAAGTTGTTATTTTTGTACACATCGCAAATCACGCCATGTGAAACGTACCCGTGATTCACAACATGTTTATATTATTATTTGAAGTTGGGGTCAAGTCGCGTGAAACGTGCACTTGAGTTGGGATTTACGTATCATGACTATGCCACGTGAACCGTACCCATAGTCACGATGATTTATTTAAACGTGCCTAAAGCAAACTACGAATGGTTATAGGTTGATGATTTCCTAAGATTTGAGGCCACGAATTATGGATAAGATTAGGAAGAAGTAGGGATTGGATTACTAAATCGGTCATAAGATTGGGCGTGTTACATCTTAGTAAGTTGTTAATGCTTTACCTTTATCTAAAAGTGCCTTGAACTAAATCTTTTGCTAATAATCTAATATCATAGCCAATTACCTTGATTCCAAACTTTAAAGCAACATACTAAAGCTGACGGTCCAACCAAAGTATAAGTCATGCCTTAACTGATTCACAGAAGAGAAATTACGAGATTAACTAAATCATATTCAACCTAATCACACAACTACGAGAAAGTAAAGTGGATATCAATTCAGAATTAAGCCTACGAAATCAATGATTTTCCTTACTCTTGTGATCATGTCCTATTACAATAATAACCACGATCTACAACTACAAGGATTACCAATTTACATTCCAGCTTCACTTACATCTCACTCCAACATGAACCCTTTTTAAAAAAAAAATCAAAACACTGATTTTTCATGTAACACTACAGATCTGGTGATTAAATAGCTAAATCAACAAATTATCAGTTTCAACATTAGATAAACAATCAGAATCAAGCATGACTTCATATTAGGCCAAATCTGAAAAAAATACAAGTATAGGGAAGGCATACCTAATGGTGTAAGGATTAAATCTAAAAGCAAAGGGGGGCCAAATAAAGGCAAAAAAACCAGCGGGTAAGAGTTCGGCAACCAGATTCAAAAGCAAGCACCAGAATCGAGCAAGTGATTTGAGATTACATCACTTCTCTTAAACCCAGAATATGTAGAATAATCAACAACAGTGAATTAGCTTTAAAAATCTCCTTTGGATCCCAGCTTTTCTATTTTTGAAACCTTTGTTGTTGTTTTCAGCTCTCAAAATCTTCCAGAACTTTGATTTTTTTTTTGGTTGCTAAGTGCTTTTTATGTGTGTGTTCGTGAATGAGTGTCTTAGGGAATGGAATGAGTGTGTCTGTGGGGCGAATTCTGATGAACCTCTATAGCCGTCTCTCTATCTCTATTGCGTGTGTGCTGGTGAGCGCAGAGGAATGAGAGTCAATGAATATTCTGTCTCCCTCCGCGTGAGAGTGATCTCTTCCTGGAGGAGCTCTAGATCGGCCATCACCTGGCGAGCGAAGGACATCACGGAAGCAAAAAACATAGATCTGGTCATATCCTCATATTCATGGCATTTCATTGCAACGTAATCGGCTATTTCTTTGATTCTCATTCTAATGACACCCTTTTCATGGAGCAAGCGTCCAATTTGCTGTGCACGGGCTTCCAACACTTGCGTGGCTATGTTGTTTTGGTCTTGCAACTTCTACACGCTATCTTCTAATTGGTAAATCAGTGCATAACAATGTTCTCTTTGTGTTTTGAAGTCCTTTGTCTGCTGAACCATTTCATTTTCGAGGTTGGCCAGCTTTTCCCTTAAAATCGTGACTTCTCTATCATATCTTTGCTTTAACTGGTGGGCTAACCTTGCCTGTTCTTCTGCACTTTTTGCCAAGTCTTCCTCGGCCTTTGTCAGATCAACCGCATAATCATGCACTTTTCGCCTTAGGTTGCTTATGATCCTTTCATCTATTTCACTTCTTACCGGCATTCGGCGGCTATTTTCATTTTTCGGATCTGAGTTCGGAGGGCTTCGTTTTCCCGGGCTAACCTCTTCTTTTCTCCTTCATCCTCAACAGCTTGCAACCCACTATCAAACTTGATGGTTCTTACTTGATCCTCTAGTTTGCTTATGGTGGTTCGATACATCTTTTTCTTTGGCCAACCAAGCCCACTGTTCTTGTGCTTCGTCCGTGAATTGTTGGACATGGGGCCCTTTGGCAGGCTGTTCTGGCTCTTGATCAACCCGGGCTCTCTTGCCATACCATGTAGTGTAATTAGACTCTACCTCACCAGAGGATAGATCCCGCATCTGAGTCGGTGGCTCCAAAAACCTACATTGGTTCCAAACCTGGCGAACCCTTTCTTCCGGGAATGCAGCCCTTGGGCATAACTCAATAACATGTGCACTCAGATCTTCATCGTGAGGGACTGTTTGATACCTACCCAATTGGCGTAGGACCCGATGCAGAGCATATGACTGAATACTCCGAAGACCCATTAATAAGAGAAAGCACACTTCGGTAGACATGTAGATAACCTCGTTAACTGGAAGCCAACTGAAAGTCCACTCAATTTGCTTTGCGGTCAAAGAACCCAGATATGTGAACCATGCTTCAGTACCCTCCGACAAATCATAGCCATTTACCGTGTTTCCGTACTCTTCAATGCAATTGAGTCCGGTAAATCCGTAGTTCATGTACCTCGGGCGACGACAGAGATGTTCCACCAGCCACATTTGCAAAAACAAGTTACAACCCTCAAAGAACCTTGCACCAGCTCGACAGGCGCTTAAAGCTCGATAGATTTTCGCGAAAATCATCGGTATAAGAGTACCATTGGCCTTCTTGACCATAAAATCAACCACTCCTGCCAGTCCCAATTCTATGTGTCCGTCACTCCTCAGGCATATCGGAGTGCCTAAGAATGCGACTACGAAAGCTAAACTCATGTGCGCTTCCCACTTGTTTTTCTTTCCCGGGTGATTCAAACCAGTGTATGGAGCCTCAAATCCGTGGGGATCCCCATACCGGCTATATAAGAAGTGGAATGTACAAACACCTTCGGCCAAATTCTCATTTATAACCTGCCAGTTAATATTCAGAAGGTCCAAAAACTTATGAGGGGTCACAGTTTTGGGTGCTACTGGATATTGGTGCCTGAGATTCCCGTCAAACCAGTGTATCCTGCAATCTCCTCTAGCGTAGGGGTCAATTCAAAGTCGGAGAAGTGGAAAACATTGTGTCGGGTCCGAAAATGGTATCAGGGCCTCAATTAGATCAACCATGGGCTTAATCTTCAGAAGACCGGTGAGCCCACCTAAAGCTTTAGTCACGGAACGCTTGCTCACCTCCCCCAGGTCATTCCACCACATGTGGAGTCTTAGCGGAAACTCATCTACGACCCGAAAAGGTACATTCTCAACGATGCTCGTTCTGCACACAAATTAAGGACAAAGATCAAAACCAACACATTTTCCAAAAACACAAAGTGGCTAATTTTGAAAATTCAAATCAGTAACAAAACAGGGGTTGTTTTTGCAAATACGACCCTTCAACACTTGAGGAAAGTTTTTAGGGTTGTTTCTGCCAACTGAGGTTGGTTATAGGAGAAAGGACTGACTTAGGTTTATATTGCGGCTATTCTTGTGAAGACAGCCTTCCGAGTTTTGACAAGAACGGCCCCAGGGAAAGAAAAACAAGTGGGAAGCGCGCAAGAATTTAGCTTTCGTAGTCGCATTCTTAGGCACTCTGATATGCTCGAGGAGTGACAGACACATAGAATTGGGACTGGCAGGAATGGCTGATTTTATGGTCAAGAAGGCCAATGGTACTCTTATACCGATGATTCTCGCGGAAATCTATCGAGCTTTAAGCGCTTGTCGAGCTGGTGCAAGGTTCTTTGAGGGTTGTAACTTGTTTTTACAAATGTGGCTGGTGGAACATCTCTGTCGTCGCCCGAGGTACATGAACTACAGAATTACCGGACTCAATTGCATTGAAGAGTACGGAAACAAGGTAAATGGCTATGAGTTGTCGGAGGGTACTGAAGCATGGTTCACATATCTGGGTTCTTTGACCGCAAAGCAAATTGAGTGGACTTTCAGTTGGCTTCCGGTTAGCGAGGTTATTTACATGTCCGCCGAAGTGTGCTTTCTCTTATTGATGGGTTTTCGGAGTATTCAGCTATATGCTCCGCATCGGGTCCTACACCAATTGGGAAGGTATCAAACAGTCCCTCACGATGAAGATCTGAGTGTACAGGTTATTGAGCTATGCCCAAGGGCTGCATTCCCGGAAGAAAGGGTTCGCCAGGTTTGGAACCAATGTAGGGTTATGGAGCCACCAACTCAGGTGCGGGATCTATCCTCTGGAGAGGTAGAGTCTAATTACACTGCATGGTATGGCAAGAGAGCCCGGGTTGATCAAGAGCCAGAACAGCCTGCCAAAGGGCCCCATGCCCAACAATTCACGGACGAAGCACAAGAACAGTGGGCTTGGTTGGCCAAAGAAAAAGAAGTATCGAACCACCATAAGCAAACTAGAGGATCAAGTAAGAACCATCAAGTTTGATAGTGGGTTGCAAGCTGTAACGACCCGACTTGTCGTTTTAAGAATTTACGCCCCGTTCAGTGACTTAAGTCTCGAGGGTGTGATCGAGTTTGATTATGACCCGCGGGTGTGATCGAGTTTGATTTACTAAATATTCGGAATTAAATTAAAAGAACAATCCTGAATTTGAAGTTTAAATGGAAAGAGTTGACCGGAGAGTTGACTTTTGAGCAAACGACTCCGAAATGGAATTTTGATGATGTCAATAGTTCTGTATGGTGATTTTGGACTTAGTAGCGTGTCCGGAAAATTATTTGGAGGTCCGTAGTGGAATTA